TTTTTTAAGAACACACTGTATGCTATACTGAGATATCCCAAGTTTTTGTTGTTCTCCTTGATTTAACCGAAGAACTGGAAACAAATTTGCTTTTGTGACAGGCTTCTAGTAACAAAGTTTCTAAATATAGAATTTAAAATTGGTTCTTTGCTCAGCTTTCTATAATGTGTAAACACAAGACAGGTTCGTTGCTTGAATTACGTGCCTTTTTTATGCTTTGAATGAGTCATAGGTCAGTGTTATGTGGTTTAGGAAACGGGTCAGGTACAAGGACTGGACTGAAAATTTGTGAAAAGCAGCAAATGACCAAAGAAAAAAACTTTGAATGCCTGGAGATTACTCAACACCTTGCTTAAAAAATGTTAAAAATGTCTGCTAATCCTTAACAAGATCATAAACTCTATACTTAACAAGGAGCCACACTGAAATTTGGTGTCTTTGTGCCAGGAAGGGAATTTTTTGGTTTTCTATCTATCAGCAGTTCATAATGAGCACTGCAGATCCTTCCAGAACAAAGGCACACGATAACAAGAGCACACTGAGCTCTCTAAACACCATCTCTGTCAGGACTACTATACAAAGCAAGCAGTTCTATAACAGAGGAAACACAAGCCTCAGCAAACTAAAGCACTCTCATACTGCGATGGCAGAGTTCAACATACTGGACTTTTAGATTTCAGAACACCTTCAAAATGCTGGAAAGTAAGACCATGCCCAAACTGAATAATCCATTTATAGTTTTACTCCAAGTAGAAATAATAGTCACGGTGTGCTTACACAGGACAAGCAGCTAGCAGGGCAAGGGAATGTCTTAACTTAGGGAGAAATAAAGTATGTTATCTTAAAATGGCTCGTCTCAAACAGTGGGTTAATCGAGGGGGCTGCACTAGTATATGATGAACTGAACTTTAACTGCAATTCACACAAAGTAAACAAAATCATACCAGCAGATCCCTCCGTGATGAGGTAAGGGGTTCATGGTTTTCCTTCATCATAAACCTATATATCTAAACAGCATACTGACAGGGATGATGACACACTCTACAGCAGGGGTGGGCAACTCCAGGCCTCGAGGGCCGGTGTC